GTGCGAGCCTGCTGGGTGCTGGGTGCTGGGTGCTGGGTGCTGGGTGGTCGGGGCTGCTCCAGGGCCCCCCTCGACTGCTAGTCTAGAGGAGGCAGCATGGGGACCAGCAAGCAGGAGCAGGCAGGTCACTCGGGCTGCCTGGCCCACTGCCCCCCTCTCTGCACAATTCCGGGGGCCCCCAGAGAACAGCATCGAATGACCCCCTGGAACCAAGCCACGTGCGGCCCCGGGAAAGGGCCCCCCTCTAGCCACTCCACAGAGTGCCCCCAGCCTGCCTTGCAGCCAGGGCCCTGGCACCCCAAAGTGCAGATGGGGTGGAGGGATGGCTGGCCGGTTCCCTCGGATTCTGAGCCTCCTCTGAGCTTCGCCCAGGAGGCTCCTCCCACTTGTAACATCTTCAGTTTCCAGGGCAGCCCTGCGAAGGCCTGGCCCTGGCCCCGGCCCCCCGGGAAGGGGCCGCCCTCCTATTTCTCTTGGGTAGAGAACAGGGAAGGGGGAATTCATTTTGCCATGGAAAGCACCAATAAGTTAATATAAATAGGGCATCATAATAAATAGACAAATGTGCCGGGTCCGACACACACCACTCTGGGGCCTCAGGCACTTCCCTGAGACCCTGACCTCAAGTTCTGCTGTCCCCTTGCTCTGGGGACGGCCTCTGTCCCCCTCAAGTACCTTGGCGTGACCTCACGGGGCCTGCAGAGGCCTCGGATGTGAGCTGCCGCTCCGAACGACTCCGCCCTCCCCTCCACGACAGATCCTCCCCCAGAAGGAAGACCTGGGTCCCCTCCCCACCGCCTCACCGGACCGTGCCACCTGCCCGCCTCCACATACCCCACCTCCGGGTCCAGCCGCCAGAGCCCGGCCGTCCTGGGCCGCAGCAACAGGAAGGAGAGCCCGTCCGGACTCTCAGGGCCTCTCTTCCTTCCAGCGTCTTCCCGCCCAGGCCTGCAAGCGGCTTCTCTGCCTCCCCAGGGGCCTGAACCCCAGGAACCTCCTTCCAGAACCCTCGGCCTAGCAGTCCCAAGGCCTGAGCCCCCCCACTGCGTTCAAGAGGAGGCGACATCTCCCTCCAGAGCTCCTTTCTCCGACTTCCACTCCCCACTCGCACAGAGGCCCAGGGGTCCTGGGATCCCGGCCCCTGCGGCTGCCCCATCCAGACCTTCCGAAGTTACCCAAGGGGCAGCGAAGGCATGGACGCTGGTCATTCCGCTCGGGGTCGGGCAACCCCCCCAGCCCTGCTGCCTCGCCCTGTGGCCAGAATCGCCGGAGATCACGTGTTCGGTTTGGTCACGAAGGCCCCGGCCGCAGGGACACATGGGGCAGAAGTCCAGCCCCTCACAGCCTCACACCCAGGGCCCGGCTGGATCCCCCGAAGAGGCCGGATCCAGGCCTTGCCGACGGGAGTTCTGATGCTGCTGGGTTTCGGCACAGTCCTCCCCGGGGGGAGCGGGCCAGGCGGGAGGGCCTCGGGGTCTGCCGGCCGATGGCACTGCGTTTGGCGAGGCTGCGGCTGGGGCCACGGTGCGAGAGCCCCCCGAACCTGAGACCGTGGGCCGCCGTGCGTGCGCCCCGAGGCCGCCCCCTAGAAGGCCTGGGCCAGCAGCGCGATGAGCTGCTTGTACTTCCCCAGGAGCTGGCAGCCCATCTTCTTCTTCTGGAAGACGTCCTTGTCCGAGGTGTCGGGGCCGTAGGCCACCTCCACGCGGGCCACGTGGTACTTGCTGCACAGGCGGCAGTGCACGTTGCTCAGGAGGCCGCGCAGCGTGTCCGCCGTGGCGTTCAGCTTGCTGTGGAGGCCGGCGGCGTGGGGGTTGAGGGTCCTCTGGTCCCGCGTGATGTTGCCCAGCGAGGCGCCCAGGTAGGCGATGATGCGGTACAGCTCCACCAGCCGGGCCTTCTCCGTGCCATTGGGGTGGAAGGGCGGGAAGTCCGTCACGTTGGGGCCGCACAGCTTGTCCAGGTTGCTGGGGAACGGCTCCCCCTGGGCCGTGTACTGAGGAGGAGAGGGGTGGAGGGGAGGTGACCAGAGAGCCGGGGGCAGGCATCCCCGCCCTCTGGGCGAGCTCTCAGGACTCAGTTCCCCACCTATGGGGCAGGGACCCCACCACTGTCCTGTAGACATCTCAGCGTGGCTGTGAGAGCCGGAAGTCATCACGGTGTGGGTGCCCTTGGGAAAGGGTCAAGGCCGGAGCCAGGAAGGGTATAGCATCATCATCATCATCATCCTCACGGTCAGGACCATGGAGGGACCAGGTGCCCACACAGTAGCCCTTTCACCACTGCACTCCCCGTCTTCCTGGCAGGCTCTGCACCCCCTGACACCCACAGCTACTGCCACTCCCAGCTGCACCCCCCCATCTACCCCGACTTCTGTACCCTTTGTTCCTCATCAGCCTCTGGCTCCATGTCGGGGAGAACCCCGTCGCCCCCCTCCTCTGCCCACCGAACTGGGCACCTGGGAACGTGATTTCCAGTCTCGGGCCTGAGCTGGGGGGTGGGGTGGGAGCTGGGGGGGTCTGGGGTGGTTGAACCAAGTCCCCTCCCCGTTCTCTCCCTCCAGCTACAAAAGGGTCAGTGCCACAAACACCTCTCCCCTCCCCCTCCTTCCTCAGGGCCTGGGGGGAGGGGGGGAGGCTTACATAGAGAATGAAGAGGGCGTTGGCACTGCTGTTGAGTTGCACCAGTTGGTTCCTGATCTGGCTCATGAGGTTGCTGTGACATGGGTGGCGCGTGACACAGGTGGCATTGACGGGGGTGATGGGCAGGGGGCTCCCCGCCCCATGTTTCCAGTGCAGAACCAGCAGCAGGGGCACGACTCCTGGGGACAGGCAAGAGGAGTCATGAGCAGGCAGGTGGGGGTGGGCGAGGGGGCTCTGGGCAGAGGGTGGCCCTCGTCCCCCTGGGGCACCACGTCCCCTCTCAGCCTCCAGCTCTAGCTTCGTGGGGCCTGGCCTCGCTGCGTCTGTGTGCCTCCCTCTCCAGGTGGCTAACTCTGTCTGCTTCTCTCCACCCTCTGATCCCTCTCTGCTTTTTCCTGAGAACAGGAGAGAAGGGGCAGGGCCTGAGCTGTTCTCACCCGTTGGGAGCTGGGCCCAGGATGACACCAACTATCCAGCCCCGAGCCCCCTGGCCCTCTGGCTGGGAGGCCCCGAGGCCCGGGCCCAGGAGGTCTAAACACACACACAAAACACAAGAGCAACCCCTCTGGTCCCAGCTCCCAGGACGGTCGGATTCCTACGTGTCATTTTATAGGTTTTCTACGGACCCACTTATCCCTCCCGAATCTGTCACATGACGTGGGCTCCCTGGGTCATGGGTCCCCTAATTCTGTCCCCCTCCCCAGCCCCGTTTCTTCTCTCTCTGTCCTCCTCCCCATGCGGCCACTCCCCTCCCAGAACTCCCTCCAGTTCTGTGGCCCTGCGCCCCCATCCATCCCCAAATCTTCATTCAAAACTCTCTGTCCCCCACCCCTGCCCAGCACCTCACCTCCATGCCCTCCCCCCCTCTCTCCTACTCCTTGCCCCAGGCCCTGGGTCGGGGTGAGGAGAATCCAGGGGTCCCACAGGCCCCCGGAGCCTTGGGGGAAGAAGAGGAAATGGTGCAACCAGAAAAGGGAAAAGGTCGCAGGCAGACAGGTGGGCGGGGGAGGAAAGAAAGTGAAAGGTGACCGGAGAGTTGGGAGCTGTTGGGGCCCGTCCCGATCGCCCCTCCCCTAGGTGCCCGCTCCCCCCCTTCACTCCTGAGTCCCCTCCGAGGGGCCGTCCCAGGTGGTTCCGTGCAGGGGCCGGGGTCAGCAGACCAGTGAGGCTGGGGAACCCCTGAGGGGGGTGGGGTGGGCTGGGGTGCAGGAGCTTGGAGCTCGGGTCCCCCCAGCTGGGACAGTGGCCGCCTCAAGCTCACGCTCCGGAGTGATCCCGTTCCGCCCAGCATCCCCAGGCCAGGCGGAGTCCCCGGGGTAACCGGGGGACCCCCTCCCCGGGCCCAGCTCACCTAGCACAGCCCGCAGCTTTTCAGGTTCTAGCAGATGGAGGCGGCACCTGCTCGCGTCCCAGCCAGAGTTTGCAAGCGGCTCGGCGGCCGGCGCCCCTCCCCGGGAGCAGCCCGGGACGAAGTTGGAAAAGAGAAAGCGGAAAGACAGAAAGAAAGAAAGGAGGGAGGGTGAGTCCGGAGGCAGCGGAGAAGCGAGGCAGCAGGGAGCTGGCGGGACCGAGGAGGAGGAGGAGGAGGAGCAGGAGCCGGAGCAGGAGGTGGAGGAAGGCGGCGGCACCCCCTCCTTGGCCTGCCAACCTGCGGGCCTGCTTTCAAATATTAGGAATTCAGGTTTCCAGAACTCAGACTTTGTGTATAAAGCCTTGGAATGAAGAGAATAGTGTTTATGTTTCCAATTAAGGCTAATACCTTAGATGCCGGCAGTTTTCAGAGGTTCATGCTCAAAGGGGGAATTTGCCTGATTTATATACTGGAGCCTGTGTTGTAAGACAGAGAAACAGCTATATTTAGCAGGGAACCCCGTCCAGGAAGTTGTTTGAGGTGCATCATAGGAAATTATGAATGGAAGAAAGTGAGAGTGAAAGGG